TACATGTAACGTGTAACAAGGACACCTTAAAATAAAGTGTTGCCATTTGTTATCGTTGATTTAAAAAAATAATAATTCAGAAACATTCCTTTGAATAATCACTAAAATGATTATATGGTTTTCTGACCAATGAGAATGTATTAAATGTAATACAAAGGGAAGTACCTTTTGTTGCTAGGGAAGTAGTTAGTACAGGAGGACCCGTCCCAAGCGCAGTATGGGTCACGAGCTAGACAGCAGTCTACACACGCTTTACCGTACAGCTCACACCTCTGCACAGGAAGCTGGACGACCCCTTCATCACTGCTTACAAAGAGCACTTGCTAGAGAAGAAAAATCAAAAATACATGAGGACGTATGTCTAAATGTGATATAAAACAGACTAACCTTTAACAAATGAATAAAAATGGTAATTGATAAACCTTTATCAAATCTAGCGTTTACAGTGGCACACTTACAAAGGAAGTCTATGGGGCAAGACATTACACTGGGTTTAAAAGCAAAAACATGAAGCTCATATTGTTGTCAAAGCAAGTGGCCACCCACTAAAACATGTCCACTTACCCTCTTGGTGGAGAGCTCCATGTTTAGGACTGGGGTTTGAGTCTACAAAATAGAAAAAAAAGAAAGAAAACATACGTCAACACATAAAATGAATCATCTCTTGAACAAGGAGGAAGAAGACACGCATTGTTGGCGCTGAAAAGGAGCAGCTCATCATAAGAGGCCCTTGTGAAAGTTTTAAAGCTTTCTGCTCTGTTGGTTCATTTCTCCTTCATAAACAGCAGCAAATGAACCTTGACTCTTAAAACGTCTCTTTCTTCAAATGGCAGGCAATATGTGCTATTATATGTCTCCTGATAGGTTTGTTTGACATGTACTGCTCTGTAATATACATAATTATGTTTTTGATGCAGTTTAAATCACTTGAAATATTTGTTATTCATAATGTACTACTAATTTTTTAGTAGAAATTTGAGGGATGCAGCGGTACTTAAAAGTGAGTATTTGGAAACTTTAGAAGACTTGAAATATGAGCTGTGCGCACTACTTTTATGGTCTTGTATTTCTTTAAGAAATG